TTACATGTGGCTTCTCTGTAATTCTAAGTAATGAAACTCTTAAAACTATCAAGTTGGGTGAGACAGCTTTAATGCTATTGGTGTTTTAATTGCTTGGTCTGTAGTATTTATAGTGTGGTTGTGCCCAGGGGTCTCAGTCCTGGGCTTCAGAGTGACATGTTGCCCAAGCTTGAAATCCCCACCAAAGAGATGCAGCACAGCTCCTGGATGGAAGAGAATGCATCGGGGCAGGTGGGAGTGCAGGGAAATGCAGGGACATTAGTTTGAAACTAGTATTTACATTTTCTCAGCAGAGTACAGAATTCCCTGTATGTAACAGATGTTCTTAAAATACAGAACAAAACTTGGTGCCTGAAACTTCACCCCACCCCTAGGGAATAGCTGTTCCTGCCATGAGCACAGGTAGCCCACGAGTCCCCAACCCAGGAGCCAGGGCCTTAGAGCAGGTCAGGAGTGGCTCTGCTCAAGTCCTGTAGCTATGGTCTTCTGGTTGTTTCTTGTGTTTTATTTACTATGTGATATCATGGTAAATACTTCAAACTAAATTACCTTTGGTTGCCAAAAAATCACCAAACCTGGTGGAAAAAGCAGTTTGTCCCGCTCATGTACTCAGAGCAAACCTCCATCCTGGGTGCCCCATTTCCTTTGGTCTTTTGTTTTTATGCTGTGGCTCATCTTAACAACCCTTCTGGTTTAAGCTCTGAAATCACTGGATTCACCTGGATGCCTCATTGGAAGTAGCAGGAATATTTCTCAAATCAGCAGCGTCGTTTGAAATTGAATAAACTTTTTAAATTCAGGTACTAGAAGTATTTTTAATTAGCCCATTTTCTGTTCCTCCATTACTGCTAATGCTTCCAGGTAGGAAGTGGAGCTCTTCCTCAACTCTGCAAATATCTACTGAAATTTGCAGTGCTGCTTGCCTCTCTCAGTTACTCTGCTGTGACCTGATTATCTATTAGAACCACAAAGAATTCAGTCTCCAATTAGTCTATCTGTTAACTATTCAAATTCATGACTTAGTTTTATTGTCTGAGCCTTTAACATAATGCTGAATGGTCTCACCTGGCAGTTTATTTGTTATAAAGCAAATGTGCCTTTCTGAGAACCATTTTGGTGCAGATAACTGTCTTTTCAGAATTGGATAAATGAGGCTGTCTAGTAGCCAGCAGTCCCCTTCCTGCCCTCACTGAAATAAATTGTACATCTCCAATAGCTCTGGGCTTAAGACAATACAGTTTAACATGTACAATTTCTTTGTTATATTCTTTGGAGTTATACCATAAGAACAGATGGGAAAGTTTAATAATGATAAATGAGTTTAGTGTTTTTACATAGTCCTAACAAAACAATAAATGCTTTTTATTAAAGATTAGAGGGTTTTTTACATACTTGCCAAAGAGAGACTACAGCTCTCATTCAGATCCTCAGAAAGTCTCACTTTTAAATTCTTTTTGGACTGTTTGTTAATGAGGATTCAGAGGAATTAGGGGCCATAAATTTACTCATTCTTGCTTAAGTGAAGCCACGAAGTGATTACTGGATGTATCACTAAGTATTGAAGACTGAAGTTTATCAACCATGTTCACACAGAATGATTAATCTCCACACTTATTTGCTGCAGCTGTGCATTTTCTAGTAGTCAGATGATGGGGCTCAAGCTCATAAATGGATTTTTGGAAGGATGTTGATTCATAAATGTACATAGAAGGGCTCGGTGGCACTGTTTGCACACTTTCCATTCAGCAGTTGCCTGAATGGTTGTTGGACCAGACCCACACTGGCTACAGCTGGGTGCAGTCACCTGCAGATTTGCCCATCATGCACCAGTCGGGTAGCTGCGGGGCTCTGGTTTCACTGGGCTGTGCAATGGCCTTTAGAGCTGCAGTCAGTGGCTGAACAATTACAGAAGCATTACACATTCCTGTAAGCCTGCAGACTGACCCTTTTCTCCCTGCGCTTGGAACTAAGTGCATGAGATACTAAGTCAGAATTGTGTAGTTTTCCCCAAGGCCTTTCTGAGCAGAAATTGCCCCATTGGGAAGCCCAGGGAGTGCTGCAGGAGTTCTGGACCTGCTGTGACACTTTGCCTGGCAACAGGAGCACGTGTTCTCAGATGCATTCTCCAGTTCCAGGTCTATATGGTGTGCCATTTAGTTAGGGATTCTCTCCATTTTAATATGAGTTTTGGGATGGGAAATGGAGAAAAAACCCTGATACCTACATGCAAATGCTTTTTTTATCTTTTTTTAAGTCAAAGAGTCAGAACCTCCCATAGCTCTTTGCACCCTCCAGTGTTAACTGTACAGTTCAACCACACCTTGGGTGGGAACACCCGCTTCCAATATTCCTAGCTTTGGCACCAGAATCTTCCTCTCTTTGCTGTCTTCTTGGATTTATAATGGGATAAATCCAAACTACAGACAAGTTAAGATTATGGCTGCTTTGGCTTGGTTTTACTAGGGAAAGGAAAGTGATTTTTCTTGGGAAGTGATGAAAAGGAAAAACGTTTAAAGTTCATTAACCTTTGGTACCGATTGCAGTGTCTTTTAGACTACACCCTAGCTATTCTTAGTCATGACATGCGAGTGGTTATCTTTTATTGTACAGGAATACAGTAGTTCCCACTAGTGGTGAAAAGAGAGAACTTTTTCCTTTTCCTTTCTGTTCTTCTTTCTTGTCTTAACTTACATATGAACTTGTTGAAGTCAGGATTTGGAATTCACTCTATGCTATTTTGTCCTAATTTCCCCCAAAGCAAACTGCATATCTCTACGTTGTTCTTTACTGGCTAATTAAGTGTTATATAACTTTGCTCTGAAAAACTAAGCAACCCATTTGGTGTATTTGCAAATGAACTTTGCTGATTGTCATTATTACTATAGGGTGCCTGCAGAAAATCCCTTATAATTAAGCAGTTGTAATGCCACAGCACAAGAGTCACAATTAGTAATATGATTTACAATTCTTTACCATTAATAATATGAAAAAGCCAACATTGTTTTCTTGATGGTGTTTAGGAGAAATTAGAATGAGGTGGACATGATTAGGAAAAGAGAATTTAATGTTATGACTTGTTAATGCAATAGCCCAGAGCAAGACATCAGAATGATTGTCCTTGCAGTAAAACTCCTTTGCTTCAGTAAGCACAGGCCCTCTGTGCGCCACAAGACAAGTTTGGAGGAAATTGGATAGATGGCAGGGATTTTGGTGGTATGAACATTTCAGTGTCTTTCATGTGCAGAGTACACAAACTGAATCTCTCCATTTTCAAATATTTCCCCAGAGGCAATCTGCATTATTCAAAGCTTAACTGTGGCTGCAGAATCCTGTCTGACATGAAAGCAGACTGCCAGCTTAAAATTAACTTTCATATTTACATCTGTATAAATCATATTTACTTTTTCCTCACCGCCTCTTTTTCAGTGGGAGAGAGGGAGTGAAATGGGTAGGAGGGAAAGGGGAGGAGGAGAGATGTCCAGCAGAATTGTAAGCAAAGCACCAGTAATAAAATCTAGTCTCATGAGACTGTCCATGAATAGGAATGATAATGAGAGCAGTGATGAGCTGCAGGTTTGTGTCTTTTAGTAAATTATCTCGCATTTACATTTCATCAATTGTGCTTTTGTGTAATAGACCAAAGTGCTACAACAAAAGGGGACACCATAAAAATGAGTAATTCCAGTGACCTTCTTAGTAATCCCTCTTAGAAAGAATGTCTTGGAAGGAGTTGGATGATTCCCCATGGTGAAGCCTCTGTAGAAAGGTGCCCCAGGCTCAAGGAGCTTTCCTGCTGACAAATGCCTTTCAAGGCCTCCTTCTGGCCACTCTGAAACATGGCTCGAATCCTGTTTTCTCCATCTGAGCATGCTTCTAATTGTCAGATGTCAGAAGTCAACAACCATTTTCTTCTTGCTGATTCTCAAACAAAGGATGTGGGCTTTCATTCGGAAAACAGAAGAAGCATGGCCCAACTAAGGATGCTGGGCATAACATATATACTTCTACATCATAAATAATGTAGAAGCTGGATGTGAAAACAGAGAACAGGGAATATGCTGGTGCTGCTGTTCCTGGGTACAGCACTCACAGGATCTTGTCCTTAGCAAGGCCTTGACTTCTTCCCTCATTTTTCTCTTGTATTTCCCTGAATACCTGCCAGCTCCTAAGATGTTTAGAATTCAGTATTTTTAAAATTCTTTTTCCATTTTGGGTTGCATCTTCATCTTTTTCTCATGAATTATTTTTTTCTCTCCTCCCCACCGTACTCTTTCTTTGGAGGCAAGAGCTCAGCTGTCAAAGTCAATTTGCTTCTTTCACTGAGGACTTAGAAAGAGGCTGGTTTGTGCCAGGCAGGAGCAGGGCTCACTGCATTTATTACTGATTTGTGCCCAGGCATGACTGGCCCTGCATTTTTGTATGTTTGTCTCTCCTTTCACAGTGACCTCTTCTTCTTCATCCCATCTTGAAATCGACAAGAACTACTTCAGTCTCAGGCCTACATCTTTCTTATCTCTCTGGGTCCCAGGTCTGATGGCACCTTTTCCATTCCTATGCCTTTAGTTTGCTCTTTTCCTGTAGGTTTCTCCTTTACATTCACATGCCAAATCCTACTCTAATGCAACTTTCCTTCTGTCTTTCAGTGTAACAGTTGGAGAAGTTGTGAGAAATGTCATGCTTTACTCACACTCCTTCTGCCAACCAGGCAGCCCTGTGACCGCAGGAGTGGTAGTAAATGAGTCCCCGTGGCCTTGGGTGACTCACGAGGAATTTTAGATTAACCTTTAGCTTTTCTGACTTTTTCTTGTGCTGATCCTTAGAAATCAGAGCACCCCACCTCTCACTGTCCTCACTGTAACACACAGGGCCATGTGAGTCCATGAGGTGTTTTGGCCTTGGGACAGCTGAAGACTGAAGAGAGGGCATCAGCAGAGAGGATAAGGGCTTCTGTTGTTACCTCCCTGATGAGAATAATTTTCTTTTTTCATCTTTCTTGGCAGGATCAAAATCCTGGAATTGTTGCCAGATTGCAGGAGCCAGGCTCCATCCCAACTGGTGGCTCTGTGCCGGCACCAGCCACGGTCAATGGGTACACAATGAGGAATCATTTACTGAAGCAGCAAATAATGAAACGGCAGCTGATGCAGGTACGATGCCGAATGCCTCTGTGGTTGCTGTGCTGTCCACCTCATTGGGAAGCACAGGACTAACTGGAATGAAGAAATCATCAATCAGCAAACACTAAGAGTGACCCTGGAATTGCTAGGCTGAGTCAGACTAAGGCTGTGGTGAGTCTAGGATGAGGCCGAGAGGCCAAGGCCAAGTTCTGCTCTGCCAGAGTTGAGTGCAGATCTGCCCCCTTATATGCTAGGGAAGGATTTGGTCATCTGCATATCCCTGATGTCATTTGTGGTCAGCCACAGACTTGGGAGGAAAGATGTAGAGAAGGGAGGCTTGGAAAGTGAATCAGCCTAGAGAGATGTTCTCAATTTTTGCCTTTCTCTCTGATACCCTGGGGATTTAGCAGAGTAGATATTAGGCTCCAGTTTGTCTGGGACTTGACTTGTCTCTCTAGCAACAGAAGCCCCTGTAGAAGGTTTGCAACAGGTTGTGTGAGGAAGGTAGGATGAGGAAATCCCACAAATGAATTGGGTAAAGCAGCTCTGACCATGTGCCTCTGACTTTCTGAATGTGCTGCTGGATTTGGGTCGAGGAGGTTGTCTTGGTTTGAAAGACAGGTATGGTCTAAGGAAAGGCAAGAGCCCCTTTCCTGCGATGCAGAGTGCAACCCCC